GCCTCACTGATAAAAGGTACCAAGCCATGTGGCTAACACAGACAAGGTTTATGTACTAATGTAAGATGTAAGAATTAGTTAATAATAAGCCTGAGCTAATAGGCCAACCAGTTTATAATTAATGTAGACCTCTGTGTGTTTCTTTGGGACTGAATGACTGTGGGACCTGGCGGGACAGAAACCTCTGTCAACAAGTCACTGTCAAGTGATTGTCTTGAGCATCAGAAGAGACTTTGAACATTTGAACAGTATAGGGGCTATTGCAGAATATGAATATCATTGAAGTGACTAAATTAATTTTCTTCATGGATGACCATGAGCCTATAGTGACACAGGTCAGAATGTAATTGATTGAATGAAAAACCTCCCAGATAAAATGTGTTTTAACACGTGCCTCTTCTTGGTAAATTTCATTTGATTGCTTGTGAAACCACTAGTAGGAGGAGCCTTTCTGGATGAAATCTCTCATTGGGGATGTGATATGATGTAGTAAAAAGGGCCGCTTGTTTGTTTCCAGCTGCTCAGCCCCAAAATAATCACACAGAAACTCTATTAATTAAATCATGGCTTGGCCCATTAGCTCTAGCTTCTTATTGGCTAACTCTTACATTTTAATTTAACCCATTTCTATTAATATGTGTACCGCTATGTGGCTGTGGCTTACTGGGTAAAGTTCCCAACATCCGTCTCTGGCAGGGTTACATGACTTCTCTCTGACTCCACCTTATTCCTCCCACCATTCACTTTAGTTTTCCCTGCCTACCTAAATCCTTTCCTATAGCTCTGCTGTAGGCCCAAAGCAGTTCCTTTATTAAGCAATGATAATCATAGCATACAAGCGGGAATCCCACATCACCTCCCCTTTTCTTTAAATGAAAAGGAAGGTTTTAATTTTAACATAGTAAAATTACATATAACAAAACAGGTATCAAGCAAGAACTACAGTTACAATATTTACATCTACTTTATCTTTTTTATAACTAAGGAAAACTATAAATTCTTCAACTCCATCAAAGACCTCAGAAGGATATAATATTACCTAAGTAAACAGGAGATGCATTGTAAGCAACTTCCAAAACTCTAGAAATGACAGAGACATCTTGCTGCCTGGACAGTCACCCAAAGTTCTGTAATGTTGGGGCTTCCATATTCAGCCCACAGGCCCATAGTATCCAGAAGACTTTTTCACGAAGTAGGAAATTTGAAGACCTGTTCTGCCTTGCAATGGAAAAGTCCATCAGTTGCTTTCTTCTGTGTCCTGCAGAATGTCTGGCAGACTCTTTCATGAATAAGGAACCCCAAAGAAACATCTCACCTTTAGCCAAGTTCAGCAGTCATTTCTTTGTGGGTCCTGCATGTCCAGTTCATCAAGCAGTCCATGCAAGAACAGTTTCTTGCTCAAATGGCTAACAAACTCCGTAAGGAGCCTCTTCAATGCCCATCTTCCTCTTGAAGTAGATTGGTGCCGCCAGGAGCAGATGTGTCTCTTTGTCATGAAGAGTCTTAGGCTCTTAAAACATTTTAAATGCCATATTCTGAAAGTCTCTGAAAGATTTGAAGAATCCCTATCTCTCTGAAATACATTTCTGTACATCTAGAAAATCTAACTAACATGACTACAAGCTTGACTATTACTATTATAGATGACTATTTACCTATATTTTAATTATACATTACATTTTTAAATGAGCTGCACAAATACAAAACCTTAATCAAGAGCAGAAATGCATATAATAAAATTGACCTTAAATTCATATCAATAAACCAAGATCCATACCAATGCAAATCTCTATAGCATACACTCCTTTAAATGTAAACAAACATTTATGAACAGTATTTGGGAATGTGGGCATAGTTCTCTCCAAACTGATTTCTGCTTTTTATTTGGCAAAGTAATTTTTGGGGGGTGTTCACAGCAACCTTTTGGGTGGTCTTAGTTCATTAAACCACATTAGTCTGGAAGGATTCCACAGGTTATCATCCTCTGTGGAAACAAAAGAAGAACCTCTTTTCCAAAGTAACAAATCCTTAGACCCAAATTCTAAAGACATGATACCTTTAAAGTATATATATATTGGTTACTTAGCTCCTTTATAGTAAAAAAATTCAAAGAAAACACAATAATATACATAATCCAGTCACTCTGTATATAGTCCATTTTACGTGGCTTATTTGGTTTTATTCTATTACTTTTTAATATTTATTTTATTATATTTACTCCTTTAATTAATGCTGTACTCTGTCTCTTTAAAGACTTAGTTTCATCTTTTTATAAACCATTTACTTCTTTTTATAACTCTCTATACTCTTTTTCTTCTGTCTCCTAAGCCTATGTACATTTTTTAAACACACTATGCCCCATTTAGAGGTCTTTTATGCATGAATCTGTCCTATTGTGTATCTGTAATTCTTTACTGTTCAGGAGTGCTTCTTAAAACACTAAGCACTTCTTATGAACTTAAGCTGTGCCATTGGTAGAGCAAATACAGCCTGCCTGCTTGCTCCACCCAGTCTGACATGGCAGAAGCATGTTTGTTGCCTCCGAGAGCCATGTACATTGCGCCATTTTCAGACACACAGGGGGTCTAAGTTGCCATTAGCAATCTGTTCACAGACCCCATAGCCAATCCTCCAGAAAGAGTCAGAGTTTGTGCTGGCAGCACCACCCAGAAAGCCGGCATTTCAAAATGGTGCAGCATTTTTCTGCTACCTCTAAATCAGGAAAACCTCTCTTAAGGGAGCCGCAGTATGTCACCAGTAAGCAAAGCCCATTTGGGGACATAAATGCGACTAAACTTCATTTTTTAGTGTCTAGAATTCCTTTCCAATCTCTCTAAGATTTTAAGTGAACTTTAGTTGGCCACATGGGCACCAGTTTGTTGTGGGAAGCCACTTGTTAGTTCCCAGCTGTTCAGCCCCAAAATAATCACACAGAAACTGTATTAATTAAATCACTGCTTAGCCCATTAGCTCTGGCTTCTTATTGGCTAACTCTTACATATTAATTTAATCCATTTTTATTATTCTGTGTATTGCCATGTGGCTGTGGCTTCCCATGTAAAGTTTCCAGCTTCTGTCTCTGGTGGGGCTACATGACTTCTCTGATTCCGCCTTCTTCCTCCCAGCATTCAGTTTAGTTTTTCCCACCTACCCAAGTCCTGTCCTATAGCTCTGCTATAGTCCCAAAGCAGTTCCTTCATTAACCAATCATAATCACAGCATACAGAGGGGAAAACCACAATAAGCATTTCTATAGTCTCAACCCATTTCCTGCTCTTTGTGCCTACTGTGTTGTGGTTGAAACTAATCAGGCAGCTTTCTTCTTTTGCTGTTATGACTTCCCCACCATTGCTGTAAGAAATCTTACAGCTTGTGATTACCCGCCTACTGGGACGTGGCCTCTTATACTATAAATGCGGATGCAGAGCCTGCATCTGCCCCTTTTTTTCTTTACTTCCCTGGCTGCTCTTTCAGATTGCTGGGTTGCTGCATCCGATCTCTGTTCTCCGTTCAAGCAGAGAATTCTGATTTGTGAGTTTACCCCTAAATAAATATCTATTTCTCAATTCTGAGGTAGTGTTAGATTTATTTTAAGCCTCCATTCCACACACCATCATAAACTCTATCACTAAATCACATAAGATTCAGTAGAATTAACTGCTATTTGGTGCTAAGGTGGTTTGGTAGCCTACTGTTTTCATTTTTGTTTGTTTATTTTTGAAGACAAGATTTGTCTGTGTAGACGTAGCTGTCCTGAAAGTAGCTCTATATATCAGGCTAGCTTTAAACTCAGAGATCCTCTGACTCTGATTTCCAAGTGCTGGGATTAAAGGTGAGTCAGTATTCTTGGCTTTTTTGTTTTTAAATTGTTGTATGATGGTTTTGTTCCTATCAAACATATGTTGTTGTACTGAGCTTCACCTATATCTTGGATTTCAAAATTTGACAGAGGGTATCTCATTGTGTTTCCCAGGATGGCATGTGTTCATGAAATTAATATTGCCTGTTCCTTCTGAGTCATTGGATTGTAGGTACACAACCTTCTTCCTGCCTGTTTTTGTTTGTTTTGAATTTTTATTTTAAAAAGAGTATTTTACCTGTATGCATGGATATGCACCATGTGAGTACCTGGTCCTTACATTGATCAAAAGATGGTACTAGAAACCCTGAACTTGGAATAATGGATAGTTATGATGCCCCATGTAAGTCCTTGAGCCCACCTGTATGCAAGACTAGGAGGACTCTTTTCTCTTGAGCCATCTTTCCTGCTCTGTGTTGATTATTTGTAATGAGCATATTAATTGCTATTGTTTTCATTTGTCCATTTGTAACTTTTTAAACACACAGTGCCTTTAGTAAAATCTTATTTATGTTGCAGTTTAAATTGGGGCACTTCAGGTTTCTGGTAGATGAATAAAGAGTTGAAGTGAATGCATAACGCTTTGTTGAAACGTCAGCGCAAACCTATAAGTTATTTCTGTCTTTTATGTTTGTTTGATTATTTTTTCATCTGAAACAGGTATTTAATATGTATTTCTGGCTTTCCTAGAAGTGATTGCATGGACTAGGCTGATATTCAACTTAGAGGCAGATAGATATACCTGCCTCTGCCTTCTGAGTGCAAGGATTAGAGGCATGATTCAGTGCATCCAGTTTTTTCCAGTTTTTTCATCTCATTTTTTTGTAGTTAGGGATTAATCATTCATACAATTACTCTTATCTGTACTCTGTACTCTTGATCTGTTTATGTATCTTTCATTGTTGGTTAGTAGGCATTTCTCTTGCAAGGTGATATCCCATTCAAAGGGTTCAGAAATGACAGAGGTGAACCTCCTACTCAGTTTATTTCTAAAGTGACTTGGTGATTAAATTATGATGTCTATGTCATGGAATAAGTATGAGGAGCACTAGAATTATATGACTATACTGTCAAAGAAGTATATATTTACAGTGTTGTAAAACTCATGCTTTCTGTTGTACACATATATGGGATATTTTAGAATGCAGTGACCTATGATGATGTACATGTCGACTTCACCTGGGAAGAATGGGCTTTGCTGGATCCTTCCCAGAAGAGTCTCTACAAAGATGTAATGCTGGAGACCTACAGAAACCTCACTACTATAGGTAAGACTGAACTATCTTTCAGGTTTAAAATAAGGGGACAACTGTTCATTGGTTAATGGTGCTCTTTTGTAATATGATTGAGAAAGAAGAATGGGTAAATAAGTCAGGCATGGTTTTAAGGTTTGCTTCAAGTGGTAACTAAATTTTTTACAAGTTTTAATATATAACATACATTTTTCTGGCACTATATTTTAGGATACAGTTGGGAAGACCATAATATTGAAGAACTTTGTCAAAGTTCTAGAAGACATGAAAGGTAATTTTCATGGATAAGCTGATACAAATGTACCTCTGAAGAATTTGTAATGTATCCTATATGTTTTAAACAAAAACAACAGTGTAAATAATAAAGTACATTGATGATTATTAAATTCTCACAAAGTTATATACCTTAATTTCAGATAGGTAGGCTGCATTTGCAAGTCATTCTTTTAAGAAAGAAGTCAAGGAAACAATGTTTTAACCTATATTACCATTTGAATCATAATACAATGAGAGCTATACTGTAAAATTGTCAATCCATTTATTTTATATTATTCATATTATAAAAGATATACATGTTAAAAGATGATAAGTATATCTAAAACTCTCTAATACACTATTAGTCTATAGAAAGGGTCGTTTAACCTATATACTTGTTCAGTTTAGTGAGGAGGCAGTTAGAGTCACGAATCAAGGGGCAACTGTTGTGGAGAAGCCTTAATCCAGATACCACAAATCTATGAGGACAGAAAGTCAAACTGTGTGAACTCTATGTGGAAACCTTATATTTGTTATTCTTCCTTTACTAGGTATATCTTATGCTACTCTGTATATAAGCCACATGAGCATAGGGATGTGAAAAGATATAACATACCTCTCCCTCAGAACAAATAGAAGATATGTAGCAGTCCCCATGTTGAGTATACTTGTTGAATTTGATGTACAAGTATAAAAGTAATTGGTTTTCTAGTCTTCTTGTTAAGATATCAACAAACTCACATTTCAGAAAAGCACCATGAGTACTAGGACTGTGTAAATATTTCTGTTTGCCCTGGTTCACTTAGCAAATGTAGTATCACTCACAGTATAGGAAACTTTATGAATGCAATAAGAGTGGTAAAGCTCTGAGTTTTTTCAGTTCTCTTCAAATACATGAAAATTCTTGTGCAGAGAAAAAGATTCTGTAAATGTGAACCATGTAACAAAGACTGTTATCAGTTCTCTTCAAAGATGAAAAGCAAGCCTTAATGAAGGGGAAAAACAAGATTATAAACATATAATTCCTTAACATATAATTCCTCTTTAAAATAGTACTAAATTGTAAAATTAATTTATACAGATAAAATAGTCAACAATGTATTAAATGTAGTAATGCTTTCACATGTACCATTATCATTGTAGGCATGAAAAAAGTCAAACTAGAGAGAAAACTTCTGTATATACTCAATGTGTTAAAGCCTTTGCAAATGACAGTCATCTTCACAGTGATGAAAAAACAGATGCTAGATTAAAACCCTATGAAGAAAATGAGTGTGGTAAAGCCTTTTCACATCACAGTCATCTTCTAATGCATAAAAGAACTTACACTGGAGAGAAACCCTATGAATGTAATCAGTGTGGTAAAGCCTTTGTTTATCAGAGTTATCTACAAATTCATGAAAGAAGCCATACTGGAGAGAAACCCTATGAATGTAATCAGTGTGGTAAAGCCTTTGCACAGCAAAGTAATCTTCAACGTCATGAAAGAACCCATACTGGAGAGAAGCCCTATGAATGTAATCAGTGTGGTAAAGCCTTTGCACGTCATAGTCATCTACAAAGGCATGAAAGAAGCCATACTGGAGAGAAACCCTATAAATGTAATCAGTGTGGTAAAGCCTTTGCACGTCATAGTTTTCTACAAAGTCATGAAAAAAGCCATACTGGAGAGAAGCCCTATGAATGTAATCAATGTTGTAAAACTTTTGCTCAACACAGTAATCTTCAAAGGCATCAAAGACTACATACTGGAGAGAAACCCTATGTATGTAATCAGTGTGGTAAGGCCTATGCACAACACAGTAATCTTCAAAGTCATGAAAGAAGCCATACTGGAGAGAAACCCTATAAATGTAATCAGTGTGGTAAAGCCTTTGCACAGCACAGTTATCTACAAATTCATGAAAGAAGCCATACTGGAGAGAAACCCTATAAATGTAATCAGTGTGGTAAAGCCTTTGTTTTTCAGAGCTATCTACAAATGCATGAAAGAAGCCATACTGGAGAGAAACCCTATAAATGTAATCAGTGTGGTAAAGCCTTTGCACAGCACAGTTATCTACAAATTCATGAAAGAAGCCATACTGGAGAGAAACCCTATAAATGTAATCAGTGTGGTAAAGCCTTTGTTTTTCAGAGCTATCTACAAATGCATGAAAGAAGCCATACTGGAGAGAAACCCTATAAATGTAATCAGTGTGGTAAAGGCTTTGCACAGCACAGTTATCTACAAATTCATGAAAGAAGCCATACTGGAGAGAAACCCTATAAATGTAATCAGTGTGGTAAAGCCTTTGCACAGCACAGTTATCTACAAATTCATGAAAGAAGCCATACTGGAGAGAAACCATATGAGTGTAATCAGTGTGGTAAAGCCTTTGCTTATCACAGTTCTCTAAAAATGCATGAAAGAAACCATACTGGAGAGAAACCCTATAAATGTAATCAGTGTGGTAAAGCCTTTGTTTATCACAGTTATCTACAAATTCATGAAAGAAGCCATACTGGAGAGAAACCCTATAAATGTAATCAGTGTGGTAAAGCCTTTGCACTTCATAGTAATCTACAAAGGCATGAAAGAAACCATACTGGAGAGAAACCATATGAGTGTAATCAGTGTGGTAAAGCCTTTGCACAGCACAGTTCTCTAAAAATGCATGAAAGAAACCATACTGGAGAGAAGCCCTATAAATGTAATCAGTGTGGTAAAGCCTTTGTTTATCACAGTTATCTACAAATTCATGAAAGAAGCCATACTGGAGAGAAACCCTATAAATGTAATCAGTGTGGTAAAGCCTTTGCACTTCATAGTCATCTACAAAGGCATGAAAGAACCCATACTAGAAAGAAACATTATGAATGTAATTAGTGTGGTAAAGCCTTTGTTTATCATAGTCATCTTCAAAGACATGAACTAACACATGCTGGAGAGAAACCCTATGAATGTAATGAGTGTGGTAAAGCCTTTTCACTTCACAGTACTCTTCAAATGCATAAAAGATCACACACTGGAGATAAACTCTATGAATGTAATCAGTGTGGTAAAACCTTTGCATATATGAATAATCTAAATCATGAGAAAAAATTCATACTGCAGAGAAACCCTATAAATGTAGCCAGTGTGATAAAGTTTTGTACTTTATATAAGAGTAAAACTTTTTGTTGCAACAATCTGTTAAAATCTTTGCATATTGCAATAGACATTGACAACCTGAAAAAGATACTGAGGACTTCTTATTATAAAGTATTTGGTAAGATTTTTAGCCAAAACACTTATAATCAGCTACACAATGATTTGGGATTCCCCTCTGTATTCTGTGAATGTATTTTGTTACCTTGTTTAATAAAGAAGCTGCTTTGGGTCTCTGGCAGGGCAGAATAGAGCAAGGCAGGAATTCCAAGCAGAGATAGAGGAGAAAAGAAAGTGAAGTCAGACTCCATGTATCTGCTGAAGGAGACAGATGCCCTGGAACCTTACTGGTAAATCACAAGTCTTGTGGTAAAATACAAAATAATAGGGATGGGTTAATTTAAGATGTCAGAGTTAGTTAATAAGAATCCTGAGCTAAGGCTAAGCAGTGTTTTAATTAGTATAGTTTCTGTGTGATTATTTCGGTTCTGGGCAGCCAGGAATGAACAAGAGTCCTCCGCCTACAACACAAGACTATTTCTTCTGTAGAAATAAATTTGACAGTGTTAACAATCTTTTCAAGCATTATGATGTCCTTTTTATACTGTTTATACTTACAAACTCATGGTAAAATGAATTTATGAAGCTCTATGTGTAGGGTAAATGGGCCAGCCAAAGAAACACATCCTGACCCTGAAACCAGAGCCAGTGAAATACATAATTTTTGACTCTGAAACTGGAGCCAGAGAAATACATCCTGACTCTAAAACCAAGATAAAGAAACACACTTTATTCCTGAATCCAGAGCCAATGAAAGAAACGCCTGACCCTGAAACCAGACTCAAAAGGTTATAAGGGGCCAGTGAAAGAACACAGTTTGGCCCTGAAACTAAAGAAACATACTCTACCCTTGACTGACTGAGCACAAAACCAGCTAATCCCTAAACTTGAGCTCTACCAACCCCTGAGCATGAAATCCAGCCTATCTCTGCATTGTTCAAAATCAGGGATTGACATCTAACTAATTCCCACCCTGAGACTCTTCTCCCTGGGAAAACTCTGCCCCTAAGAATTCCTATATAAGTTCTGTACCTGTTCAGTTGGCATCTGCCCATTTCTGCCCTGGCAGAGGCAGCCCCTCTCCTGGATTCTTCCGTTCCAAATGATTTTCTTGAATGAGTTTTGGGTGAAGACCTTTCACCGGAGTGATAAGAAACTCTGTAGTGGATTGGAACAGAGAAGCTTTGGTCACCTCTGCTGGCAAATTTCCCTTAAAGGAGCAGAGCAGAAGTAGCAACTCTTCACCAGAGACTGCAACATTTCTGCAAAAGTTTCCCATCAACTCCAGTGAAGCAGAGAAGTAACAATTTGGGCTGAAGCTGAGAAAAAAAATTAACATCTCTGTTAGGAAACTCCCTAGTGGGGTGGAACAGAGAAGCATTGGACACCTCTGCTAGGAAACTCCCTTAGGGAAGTGGAACAGAACAGCAATAGACGTCTCTGCTTTGAAGCTCTCTTAGCAGAGTGAAGCAGGTCCTAGCTGTGATGGCTCTCTTGGAGAGGAGCAGCCATTGCTACATCCTGCAGGGAGAACATCTCCCACTGGAACACAGCCTCGGGTATAGCCGGACTTCCCAATAGTCAGTATATGTCAGGGACCATCTTTGACAAGTATACCACTTACCTGGGTAGGGGCATAGGGATTAGAAAAATAAGAGGATGAAGACAAAGTGAAAATAATAAAACAGAAGCATAAGATAGTACCGGGAGGGAGTTCCAGTGAATACTGTAAATCTGCCTGCATTTAATTTTCCATATACATTTCTACCCCAATACAGCAGGGGGAGAAGACAAAAGGCTGCTTTAACATGATGCAAAGGACAGCTAGAACAGTTACTTGCTTCAATACTTTGAGCCGTCAAGTCCTTAATTATTGAGAAAACATTCTGTTATTCAGGCAGTGAATCCTAAAGGCAGTGATTTCCTAGGTCAAATCTCTTAATTCAAATGAAAGAGCAGAAGGATGTTTGAATTCTCTCACCTTTGCTCAAGGGGGAGTAGGCATATCTGTATGGGCCCTTTTAAAGTCCAAAAGGCAAAACATCCACACCTTAGGTCAGGGTGTGTAGCCATACCTGTTAACAACTTTGAGCAACCTCAAACTCTGACCTCCAGGAAAGGTGGAAATAGGTTCAAGGTTTTGGACCTCCACAAGGATACCTTTTCTCTTGATAGCTGTGGGTATCCAGTACACTTTCCCTTCTTGGCTGTAGGTATGGCCTGACTTCTAACAGTCAGGGTACCTTCCCTCCACAGCTTCAGTTCTAGACAGACTTCTCAACAGTCAGGATTCCTTTCTCCTCATAGCTGTAGTTGTCCAGTATACTTTCCTTCACAGCTGTAGGTATGTCCTGACATGATAGTGAGGGTACCTTTCTCTTTAGAGCTATAAGTACTCAGGGTACCTTTTCTCCACAGTTTCAGGTATAGCCTGACTTAATAACAGTCTGGGTAGCTTTCCTGTCAGCTGTAGGTATCCAAGATTGTAGTTGGAGACTGCTCAGGCAGTTTCCGGAGCCATCTAGACCCAAACAGTCACACAAAATATATTAATTACAACACTGTTTGGCCTGTTAGCTCAAGATTCTTATTAACTCATTTTTACATCTTAAATTAACCCATTTCTATTAATCTCACCACAAGGCTGTGGCTTATCAGTAAGGTTCTGTTCTTGGCACCTTTCTGCTTCAACAACTACATTGTATCTCTTTTACTCCACCTACTCTCTCTATATCTCTTCCAGCCTGACTGTATTCTGCCCTGCTATAGGACAAAGCAATTTCTTTATTAACCAATGGTAATAAAACATGTTCGCAGCCTACAGAGGGGAATCCCACATCACAGGATAACTTTCCTTCACAGCTATAGGTATAGGCCGATTTCTGACAATCAGTGTTGTGGGGAGGTCGCTTGATTGGTTCCCAGCCTCCTGGCTAGCTTAGATCTGAAATAACCACACAAAAACTGTATTAATTAAATCACTGCTTGGCCCATTAGCTCTGGCTTCTTATTGGCTGACTCTTACATATTAATTTAACCCATTTCTATTAATCTGTGTATGGCCACGTGGCTGTGATTCACTGGGTAAAATTCCCAGCGTCTGTCTCCGGTGGCTCCATGGCATCTCTCTGACTCTGCCCTTCTTCCTCCCAGCATTCAGTTCAGTTTTCCCTGCCTACCTAAGTTCTGCCCTATCAACAGACCAAGGCAGTTTCTTTATTTATTAATGGTAATTACAGCACACAGAAGGGACTCCCACATTAGGGTATCTTTCTCCACACTATGAAACTCTGGGTGGCCTGGAACTCACTATATAGACTAGGCTCTTCTAGACATCAGAAAGATTTGCCCACCTTGTCTCCAGTGTACCTGAATTATAGATGGGTACATCACAGATAACTAACTTTTTTTTTTTTTGGCTTTTCAAGAAAGGTTTTTCTTTTGTGTGTGTGTGTGTGTGTGTGTGTGTAGCCTTGGCTGTCCTAGAACTAGCTCTGTAGTCCAGGCTGGCCTTGAATTTACAGAGATCCATATGCCTCTGCCTCCCAAGCGTTAGGATTAAAGATATGTACCACCACTAAGGGTAATGTACTAATGTAATTTGGTTTTTTTCATTGGTTTAATAAGAGTGAGTGACTGAGCCTGACTTGTTGGGGTAGCAAAGTCACAGGCTATGGTCCTAACTCCAGTAACAGAAGAAGACTCCCATCAAATGCAGCCTTCCTGTCTTAAAGTCTACTGTCTTCCAACTATGAGCAATATTGTTTTTCTTTATCTTTGTATTATAATTCATCAAGGGACTAGAGCACAGTACTGTCTTTATTCTACAGATGGTTGAAACCCAGGCTCATGGAGATCGGTGGAATTTTAATATAATTAAGTGTAACTGCTCATCTTACTCATCCCATCATTCTAATGACTGATTAAATGAAGTTGAAACCAACTAAGCCAAGCATGCTGGCACAGACGTGTAGCCATGATACTTAGAAAGTAGAGGTAGGAATGTCAGGATTTCAAAGTTATCCAAAATGAGAATGGTCAGTAGGGTATGGTGGGAGGCGCATTGAACCTAGGGAGCCTGTGATTTGCTCAGGACAGTGTCCATAGTCATTCCTGCTGCCCTAGAACTTCAGGGCTGTGGCACCAGCAAATGTTAGCTGAGGTATGTACCAATCCAAGTTTTCTATTCTTGATAATGTTTTCTGTCCAAGTCAACCTAGATCACTTAAGGGTCAGATTCATGTTGCTCAATAAAGAATTAGATTCCACAGTTGGGTGAATTAGCCTCAGGCAGGGATAAAATCCCTATTTGTGTATCTGAAACAGCATGTTCAATTCTGAAACCATAACACAAAACCAACAGAAATGGACCCAGCAGGTTTTATCCACTTATTCACACAGACTTCACAAGGAAGGAATTAGAAGGGGAAAATTTGGGAACAGAAGGAGGGGACAAGGAAGGAGGAAAGTGATACAATGTGTTTTGATTAAAATGTATAAAAATAAATTTTAAATGAAAATGCAGCTTAGCTTTTCATTTAAAGATTGAGATAGCTTAGCGATTAAGAACACTGGGTGCTGTTGCGGAGGACACGGGTTACATTGCCAGAAACCATGGTTGCTAACCATCTCCTGTAGCTCCAGTTCCAAGGGATCTGATTCACTCACCTGGCCTCTGCAGGCACTGCACAGACACCTGTGGGCAAACACCCACGTACATAAAATAAAACTTGAAAAAAATAAAATTCTGTACAGAAATCACAGACTTGAGATAAACATCAGTCATGGCTATCCATCAAAGAAGCTCCTGTGGCCTTTCTCTGAGCCAGCTTGCTTGGAGGCAAAAGAAGGCTTATTCTGAGGTTAGAATGGCTCAGAATAGCTGTTGATTTAAGAACAATCACAATGTGGAGAGGTGACTTTCCCATAACATTTTTTTTAAAAATTTGTGTTCTATGTTCTTTGTGTGTGTGAGGATTGTGGCATCAAGATATCTCTTAAATGTATCTTTTAGATCATATATTAAGATCTATATATCTTTAAATCATATTATATTTTTATTTTGATCATAATGCATAATCTAAAAGATAGTTTTGCTCTGTAAATCTCCATCTGCCTAAGTGGCTAGACTTGCTTTCTCCTGTTCCTATCTAAACTGTTCAATGTATAACCTCAGGCCTGAACCTAAAAAAGACTTAAGGATGACAGCGTATGTGGAATGCA